GTGGGGTGATGACGGCTGCTTTTAGTAGGATTGCGGAGCAAGTTGAAGTGTTCTGTCATTGGTGTGTTGCAGGGCGGATGTCGTCCGTAAAGGTCTTTGCTGCATCGGCCGAGGTGTGGTGTATTCATGTGGCACTTAGGCAGGCGTGCGCGGATGTGGAGCACGTGTGTGAGTGAGTGAATATCGGTCAAGTGGTCTTTAAGTCACCATGTGGAACAGTCGCGTGCAAAGAAAAATGACTTGGAGGGCCGCGGGCATTGCAGAACGAAGGGGGGGGGACAGGCATTGTGGCTGTCCGCCACACTAGCACTGTAGACTCAAGGTTTTCCCAGCTACCAAAGTCCGGGCATTGTGTGCTACCACTTTTTCTCAGAATGCCCTAGTGTGTTAGTCGTTGCTTCGTGCTTCTTCAGTCGTTTATATTCGCGAAAAGGCGCTGGCAATCAGTTGTCGTCCTGTCTCTGTGACTGTTGCAACGCATAAGAGCTCTGCGCGGCAGACGCACAGCTGGAAGTTTTCTCTTCAATTGGACCACGAAGTGTACATTGTTACTATGTAAGGAGGGCCTAACAAATGGCTGCGATAAAATCCATGTTCGCTCGATCGAAGCGACTCGTTTTTGCCACCGATGCAAAATGGATGAGAAGATGTGAGGTGAGGTCGATTCTACCCGATCTTTTGTCCTAACCTTCCGGATGAATTGGTGGTCATCACCACCTTAGACGGTGGTGAAGGTGAAGAGTGCGGTTGGCGCTAAATACGTCCGTTACCACTTTAAAGCTACACCAACCTGTTGGCGCATATGATGGACTTCATCGAAATCGATGGTCGATGACAGACTGAATATTACACCCAAGGCACGCATGTCGTATAGATTCTGTTCCATTTAGATTTTCCCGGCATGCGCGGCGCTTCATTACTATGTATCCGATCTTGGTGCTCTTATTTTGGAGCCTACCTCTATGTTAACCTTCATTTCTGAATTGTCCCCCCGCCGGGTTGGGCGAACTCAGAACTGCTCTCCGATATCGTAGTAGGGCTTCTTCGTGCGCCAGGCTCCTTAATAGCCCCAACTCCGCGACTGAGATAGCATGGACAGAAACGGATGGAAAAATCAGAATAGGAGGAGTACCCTCGAATTGAGCTTGATTACTCTTTTTTTCAATCGACATATCGAAGCTAAAGCATAATGGTGGCAAGGATGCTAAGTTAACATGCCATCACTGCAAATCGTCACGCATGGAGAGAGGTACACTACATGACATGGTCGAGGCGGGCCAGATCAGGCATAAGCACAGGCGTACCAACTACATCAATCCAATGGGTACCTTTAATCATGCCTTGTTGTTGTTGTTGTTGTTTTTTCTTTCATTAGGTCCACCCTCCAACAATCGTCCAAACCCAAGTTGAAGGTGGCTCCACCCTCTTCAACTTCAACTACTTTGGTGAGGACGCCTACCTGACACAGTCGAGCCAGTTGTACCTCGAGACCTGCATCCCCGCTGTTGGTGACTGCTTCTGCATGGTTCGCAGCTATCGCGCAGAAAAGGTATGACAATTCTACCCCCTTATCGCTCCCAAATCTATACGCCAACGCACACATACACACTTTCGCAGTTTCTCTGCTGGCGACTGTGAATGCCTTGCATCCTACCAGAATGACCCGCGGAAGTCTTTTGTAAGCTTTGGGTTTTGGAGACTTTCATCCTAAATGTGAACTCACCACCTGGGCTGCTACATAGCCCACTGCTTCATTATGACTACTACTACTAGTATGCGTCCACGAATATATTACGCCAAACATATGTGTGCCTGCAGAAAATGGAAAAAATTGTTTTGAGTAAGGCAAAGATCAAGAGACTAGCCTGATATGTTGGTTATTGTTTATGAAATGCGTTCAAAACC